TTATTTTGCCCTTAAATGATGTTAAAATTACTAAAATGTCATTGGTCGTCCTTCTCATGGCTCTTCTATAGAATAGAAATATCTAAATCTTTCACCACTTCTAAGTCTTGCTGCCACCACCATGCATCTTCACCGGATTCACTATTGTTAATTCCAAACAAATTTTTAAACTCATATAAAACTCTTGCAAAACCAATCAACCTAAATCAATTGTAGATAAATTTACATATATTTATATCACCCCAAGATACTTTTGATCTTATTTGAGAAAAATCAATATGGGTTTACTTCAAATCCAATTGAACCCACCGAAAAACTATTTTTTTACTAATAAATCCTTTAATTATCAATCTCAAATCTCAATCAATCAACTATATCTCAAAAATTATCTCGATTAATCTCCTTAATCCATTAATTATCGTAGAATCAGTCTCTTCCTCTTCGAAATTATCGTCATCATCGATGATGATGTGGAAGACATCGTAGGCTCCTCCTCCTCATCTTCCTTGAGAGGATTGTTTATCTTCAGTGACCACCATTAATGGCAATATTTTGCCATATTCGTCTTCTCTCCCTTCACTTTTTTTTTAAATTTGATTTTTAGGTTTCAAATGAGCAAAACCTGAATATCTCTGAATGAGGTCTGAAATCATTATTCGCCTTCCTTCCTTAAAGACCCAATTTCATGGACTGATGGTGTTCTAGTGATGGTGAAAATGGTGAAAGTACTTTGGGTGTTTGAAGGGATGGGTAAGAATATAGAAGAAAATGGTAAAGAAATATAAAAATTGAAAAATAAAGGGAAAATGCATAAGTACCCCCCCAGCCTATGCCCAAAATCCCTGAGACACACCTAACCTTTACTAAGGTCCTATTACCCCCCTGAACTTATTTTTTAGTTAATTATTTACCACTTTTCGGCCTACGTGGCTGAGTCCGTGATTTCACCTATTTTAGGCGCGTGGGTGCATCTTTTTGACAGCACTGACCAATAAAAATTGGTCATGTGTTAAATTAAACTTGGAAAAAATAAATATTAACTCAATTGTCTTCTTCTTTATTATTGTTCTTCACTAGTATACGTACCCGCGCGTTGCGCGGCTATATATTAATTTAGAATTATTTTAATTTAATAAAATATCAAATACTTCAAATATTTTTATATATTGTCCTTTATTACTTTTATGTTGTATTAATAAATTAATATTTTTCATATTAAAAAATTAATATTTAATTTTTTTTCACATGAAATGTAAAATATCATAAGATTAAATGACATGTTAGTATATTTTGAATATTTATTTTTCAAATCC